AGAATGCAGACGTGAGCAGATACAGAGACTTGACACCCGACAGTTGGTACATTGCAGACCAGAGAAAATGGATAAAATATTCAGGAAGCAGGGCTGGATAACGGGGCACACGTGGGAAAAACTGCAATTAGGTCCCTGCCTCAAACCTCGTTTCTAGGTGGATTGCCCACAACTATGAAAAAACAAACAGTAAGCCTTTTAGAAGAGAATATAAAGGAAAAATGTTATGACCTCAGGGTAATTAAAAATTTCTTAAAATAAAACGGTGGGGGTTGGGGATGGAGAAGCATAAAAGGAAACCTTGATATTTTGTCTTCATGAAAATGAAACTCTTGTACAAGAATATTTAGAGCACTGTTACTCATAATAGTGAAAGGGTAGAGACGACCCCAATGGCCACCAATGGATGAACGCATAAACATTGTGGCGTATTCATGTCATATTATTCAGCCCTAACAAGGACTCAAGGGCTGATACATGCTACAGCTTGGATGAAGCTTGAAAATATTATGCAAAGTGAAAAAACCCAGACACCAAAGGCCACATATTGTAGGAGTCTTCTTTAGAAAAAAATTAAAGTTTATTTATTTATTTTTTTTTAGTAATCTCTACACCAATGTGGAGCTCTAACTCATAAATCTGAGATTAAGAATCTCATGCTCTTCCCACTGAGCCAGCCAAGTGCCTCTGTATGATTCCTTTTATTTATTTTAACATTTGTTTATTTTTGAGAGAGACAGAGCACGAGCGGGGGAAGGAGCACAGAGGGGGAAACACAGGATCCGAAGCAGGCTCCAGGCTCCGAGCTGTCAGCACAGAGCCCGACGTGGGGCTCGAACCCACAAACCGTGAGATCGTGACCCGAGCCCAAGTCTGACGCTTAACCAACTGAGTCACCCAGGTGCCCCTATTCCTTTTATATGATGTTGTGGACCGAACCGTATTCCCCCCAAATTCACATGCTGACGTCCTAATCCCCATCGTGACTATATTTGGAGACAGAGCCTTTGTCTTAGTCCATTTTAGCTGTCCACAGACTGGGGTAGCTTATAAGCCACAGAAATTTAGTTCTCACAGTTGATAGATTTAAAACAATCTAAAGATAAATCATCAGCACTAGTCGTAGAGTTTAGCAAGGTTTCTAGAAACAAAACTGGCTGTAAATCCAAGATCAAGACACGCACATGGCTCAACTCTGGTGAGGGCTCTCTTCCTGGTTAATAGCTGAGACTTCTTGCTGAGCCCTCACAGGGCACAAGGCGAAGGCCAAGGCGTTGGGGAGCTCTGTGAGCACCTCTGTTATAAGAGCATTAATCCCCTTCAGGGAGCTTCCCTCTCGTGCCCTACGCCCTCCCAAAGGCCCACCTCCTAACACCTTCACTTTGGGGGTTAGAATTTCAACATATGAATTTGGCAGGGGTGGGTGGGGCGGACACGACTTTCAGATCATAGTAGCCTTTAAAGCAGTAATAAAGGTGAAATGAGGTCAGAGAGGTGGAATTCCAATCCAATATGACTAGTGCCCTTATAAAAAGAGGAAGAGATACCAGCGATGCTCAAGGAGCACAGAAAAGACCTCGCGAGGACACAGCTGCGAGGTGGCCATCCACGTACGAGCCAGGGACAGAGGTCCAGAGGAAACCAAGTCTGCCAGCACCTTGATCTGGTACTTGCAGCCTCCAGAACTTTGAGGAAGTACATCTCTGTTGTTTAAACTCACCCATTTATATCGTGAGTTTATGTTGTATATATACTCACCTGTGGTATATCATGGAGAGGAGTGCAGATGATATGCTGGGAATAGGTAAATCCGTGGGGACAGAAGGGAGATTGATGGCTCTCGGGGGATGAGGGGAGGGAAACTGTGGAGTGGTCGCTGAGGGTAACGGGTGTTTTGGGGGAGCAGTGAAAAAGTTTTAAAACTGGAGAAAGCTGGCAATAGTATAACACCGTGAATCCATGAACTGTCACTGAGCTGTACACTTTGCGGTGATTTAATTGCATATTACATGAACTTTACCTCAAGTTTGCTTTATTTTTTTAAAAATTTTTAATGTTTTATTTATTTCTGAGAGAGAGAGAGAGAGAGAGAGAGAGGGAGAGTGAGCATGGGAGGGTCAGAGAGAGAGAGGGAGACACAGAATTCGAAGCAGGCTCCAGGCTCCGAGCTGTCAGCACAGAGCCCTATGCTGGGCTCGAATCCACGAACTGTGAGACCATGACCTGAGCTGAAGTCGGACGCTCAACCGACTGAGCCACCCAGGCACCCCCTCAAGTTTGCTTTAAAGACAAGAGCATTCAGGGGCGCCTGGATGGCTCAGTCGGTCAAGTGTCTGACTTCAGCTCAGCTGAAGAAACAGAAATGGGGAATCTAATGGGAATGGAATTTCAGTTTGGGGAAGATGAAAAAGTTCTGGAGATGGAAATTGGGGACAGTTGCACAACATCACGAACCTGCTAACCGCCACTGAATTGTAGGCTTTTAAGTGGTTAAGATGGTAACTTTTGTCTTGTGCATATTTCACCATAATTTAAAATATTTTTAAAATGTTTATTGATTTATTTTGAGGGAGAAAGCATTGTGAGCACAGGAGGGCAGAGAGAGAGAGAGAGAGAGAGAAATAGAGGGAGAGAGGAGAGAATCCTGAGCGGGCTCCACGCTGCCAATACAGAGACAGACACAGAGCTTGATCCCACAATCCTGGAATCATGCATGAGCTAAGCCAAAATCAAGAGCAGATACTCAAATGACTGAGGCACGCAGTCACCCCAAATTTAAAAGATTTTTTATTTTTTTCAAAAAAAGTTTAAATGTTTATTTATTTTTCAGAGAGAAAGAGAGAGGGAGAGAGAGAGTGCTAGCAGGGGAGGGGCAGAGAGAGAGAGGGAGACACAGAATCTGAAGCAGCTCCAGGCTCTGAGCTGTCAGCACAGAGCCCGACGCAGGGCTCCAAACCACGAACCGTGACATCATGACCTGAGCCAAGGTTGGAAGCTTAACCAACTGAGCCACCCAGGCGCCCCAAGATATTTTTTAAACCAAAATCTGACGTTTATCAAAGGAACCTTAGTCCAAGTGGCAAGTTAAACCCTCACTCTCTGTACTATATTCTTGATTTTTCTGTATCCCTAAAACTGTTCTAAAACATAAAGCCTTTTTTTTTTGTAATTTTGTTTTTTACATTTACTTATTTTTGAGGGACAGAGACAGAGCGCAAGTGAGGGAGGATCAGAGAGAGAAGGAATCCCAAGCAGGCTCCAGACTCCAAGCTGTCAGCACAGAGCCTGACTTGGGGCTCGAACTCACAAACCGTGAGATCACGACCTGAGCCGAAGTTGGCTGCTTAACTGACTAAGCCACAAAGGCGCCCCCATAAAGTCTATTTTGAAAAACATAGTCAAGCTTCAGTTGGGAGAAGATTATTTGCAATGGGTATCCCGGTCGGGGGCAGGAGGAGGGAGACTCTAAATTGTATGAAAAGAGCTCAAAGGATAATAAGGTTGTGGCAAGTCCTGAAGGCTCTTTATCTACTTTCCCCCATCCTTTGGCTCATGACTGACTTTCTCCTAACTTCACGTAAATTCTCCGTGGACTAAGTTTCGAGCCCCACTCGCAACCAGACCCCTCCGACACCAGCTTTCTACCGAGGCTATAAGAAATTACCACAGGGGCGCCTGGGTAGCTCAGTCGGTTGAGCGTCTGACTTCAGCTCAGGTCATGATCTCACGGTTCGTGGGTTCGAGCCCCGCGTCGGGCTCTGTGCTGACAGCTCAGACTCTGTGTGTCCCTCTCTCTCTGACCCTCCCCTGCTCACGCTGTTTCTCTCCCTCTCTCAGAAATAAATAAAATATTAAAAAAATAAATAAAATCTTTTAAAAAAATAAATTATCACAAAGCAGCTCAGATCAGCATAATTTATTATCAGAGTTCGGAATGTCCCAAGTGAGCAGATTGCTCTGCTCGGGGTCTGCCAAGAACAGAATCCAGGTGTTGGGGGAGCATCTTATCAGGAGGCTCTAGGAAGAAACTACTTCAGGCGCATTCACGGTGTTGGCAGGATCCAGTTCTTTCGTGTCGTAGAACCGAAGTCCCTGTCTCCTTGTGGGCTGACAGCGGGGGCCACCTTGGTTCCTCGGTGCCTCTCTCTCGTCCTTGCACACGGCCACTTGCAACTCAGAAGCAGCAGCAGTGCGTAGTCCTTTTCAGGCTTGAGATTTGCCCAAAGCCTCCCAGCCAGCATATTAGGAAGCTAGGATCCAAATCCCAGATCTAATACCACCAGATACACAGCCCACTAACAATACGGCTGGCAACCGCCTGATGCTTTCCTCAAGCCTACGAGGGGCCTTGATGCCCATTTCCCACCCGATAGCCCTTTGAATAACTCTGCCAGGTATTCGTGGGACTTCTGGCTCCATTTGATCCACTGGAAAGTTCAGTCCCAAATATGCAGCCCTGGCGCAAGCGGGATCCCCCAATCTTTCCTTTTAGCCCGTCCCGGGGGCCACAGGCCTAGAGCACAAAGTTACCCACTTATCCCCTCCCCCACCCCCACTCCAGATAGCATTGTAGGCCCCCCCCCCAAAAAAAAAAAACATTACTGGAGCCCTGCTGGGTGGCAGGCGTTGAGAGCACTATGGGGACAGAGCGAGGGGAGGAACTGATTGCAGCCCTCGGTTTCCTGGTGTTCCGGGAAAGTCTGCCTTTCTGGGGCCTGAAACCCCACTTTTGCAACTCAGGGTTAAAACCTATGCCTTGAAACCCCCTGCCTTCTGGAGACCTGACCCCAGGGCCTCGGCAGGGAAGCGGCACTACCTGGGAGGCGGAGGTGCACAAGTGCGCGCGCGCGCGCGACCCCCACGCACGCGGCCCGGGAGCCCCCGGCGCCCCTCAGGGTTCACACAGGGGGCGGGGCCGTAAAGGGCTCCTGGCTCTGTCGCGAAAGGGGCTGCAAAGGAGCGGCGCGCTGGTGGACGGCAGGGAGGCCGTGTTGGATGCGACGTTCGCTCTTTACGGGGGGAAGTTGGGGAAAGTTTTATGTAACGGGAGCCAGCACTCGCAGCCCGCTGCTCGCCTCGGCCGCGCGTCCGGCGCTCGCGGTCGGCGGCCCGGCCTCCCGGGCTCGGCGAGCAGGCCCGCGGCGGGGCGGCGGCGTCGCGATGGGGCCGGCGGGCGCGGACGAGCGGCCGGGGCCCGAGCAGCCCCGCGCGCGTCCCCGGAGCCCCGCGCGCGCCGCCCTGGAGCGCGAGCACGTGCGCGCGCACCTGCGGGCGCGCCTGATGCTGCTGGAGGTGAGCATCCTGCTGGAGCGGCTGGAGGGCGAGGTGGCCGCGGTGGAGGGCGCCGTGGGGCAGGGCCGCTGCGGGAGCGGCGAGGCGGAGGCGCGGGTGCTGCAGCTGTGCGAGAGGGCGGAGAGGAAGGCCGCCGAGGTGGCGCGCGTGGGGCGGAGGATCGTGGAGCTCCACGGGCAGATGGACGGCTGCGGCTTCTCCTGACGGTCGCGGGGGAAGGTAGGTGGCGGGAGTGGCCGCGGGGGGGGGGCGGGCGACGCGCTGGAGAGGGCCCGGGACGCCCGCCTGGCGGTGCACGCGGGGCGGTGGGAGTGGGAGGGGCAGACCGGGGGTCGTGGTTGTAGGCTGGTGACAAGTGAAAGGCGATTAGGTGGTGGTAAAAATGACACGTGAGGGGCGCCTGGGGGGCTCAGTCGGTTGAGCGTCTGACTTCGGCTCAGGTGGTCCGTGAGTTCGAGCCCCGCATCAGGTTCTGTGCTGCCTACTCACATTCTGTGTCTCCCTCTCCCACTTGTCCCTCCCCCGCTCATGCTCTGTCTCTTTTTGTCTCTCAAAAATAAACAAACGTTAAAAATGACACGTAAAGATTATTAGGAAGTAGAACAAGAAGAGGTGTGGAGCTGCCTACTGGCTGAGGGTTGGGGGGTGAACCAAAGGAAACCCCAGGCCATAAAGCAAACTGTGGGGCAGGAGAGGAGAATTTTTTAAAGGGTGAAACAGAGGACCAGTACTGAATGTTTCTGAATTTTGCCAGCAGTTTGGAGCGTTTCGCTCGACCCTTTCTGCGAGAAGCGGCATTCTGCCTGCCCAATTTCAGTGTTTATCCCAGGCTGACGGACCCTTAACAGCTGTTACGGATAAAGCTAGACACCAGTGGAAGCGGTAAGGACGGATTTTATGGAGTGGTAACTTGCAGCAGGGGAGAGGATCCAGCGTGAACTGAACTCAACTTCCTCTGAAATTTTTAAAGATTGCGACGTGCCAGGGGAAAGGCACTGGAGGGTGACAGGTGGGCTTTGGTGCATGTGACTAGGCCATCTGGATTTGCTAACTGGAGCATATCCGGAGAAGCAACTTCCGTCTTTGTGAAAGGTGCACAACTGCCCCCGGAACCTTGCGGGCACTCACCCCGGTGAGGCCCTCTCCCTCTGCAGAGAACGGGAGGCCAAAGAGATGGCTTTCTGGTCCTAGAGGGGACAGTTTGGGATAAAACTGGAAGATTTACATTTCAAAGCGCATAGAGAGGATTTATAAATGCAACTTTCTATAAGGTAGCAATTGTAAGGGGGTGGGGGGCCTCAGGGCTTATCTGCCTATTGGTAGGTTTTGGCTGGAACAAGGAGTAAAATTTCCCAGGGACTTTGAGCTTCCCCCCACCTCTCGCAGGCACTTGAGGGTGGGCTGGGGTCACAGCCTTAAGATGTGGAAGCCATCCTAGAGTTCAGTCAGATCTCTGAGCACCAGAGCTCTGACAGAGTGGTTATGGGCCGAGAGCTCTCCAATTCTCACAGGTAACATCTTGATTAATCAGTTTCTCCCAATTGTCCAGCAGGTTCACCGTCAGACTCTGGTTGACTGGTCGGCTTAGAGCCCGGAAAAGCTGCATCCTGAGGACATGATGTTTTCACTTCTTTGTTTTCCTGTGCATGTCGTTTCTACGTGTACTGTTAAATCCGCATGTTAGTCTGTGTGGTGGCTGCTGTGTGGATATAGATGGCCAAACGTATTTAGTTCTGGGAAGAACTTTTACTGGGGAAAGGTCCTCCAGGCAGTTTGAGTCTGGATTGTCAATTGATGAAGGGATCCTGTTTTTTTATTCTCTCAGGATTTCACAGTGTTTTAAATTTTGCCGTTTCTGTGCGTTTTACTGTCTCATACGTGACTAATCACTGCCGGAAAGTCTGGGCCACGTAAGACACGGTGTCAGTTGTCAAAGAGTACAGCTGCTGAAGGAGCTCCGCTTGCTTCGCTGCAAGACGCCACCAGAAAAGGGACGGGAAGTGTGCAGTTCAGAGCTTGTCATTTCTCCGTGACCCAAACAAAGCTTCGCTCTGAAATGAAGTCCCGGCATTTGGCGTGCGAAACGTGAACTCTTGGGACAGTCTGGGCGACCCCGTGAAGTCTGATGTGTGGTCGTGTTCTTATATTTTGTTTGTGGTCTGGTTGAAGGGGCTTCAGGACAGCTCTCTGTAGTGCATTTCCGGCTCTCCGAGGCCTGGGAAGAGAGGAATGTGCCTTATGGTCTAGGAAAGAGCTGTGGCCTCCCACTGAACAGGGCCAGCACCACTTCATGGCTTTTTCATTGTCTGGTTATGTTTGAATAGCACCCCCGCCTAGGGATTTGAGGTTAAAACGATGTACGTAGTAAGCATTTGTAAGTTTGCCCAAGTAAACCAAAGCCCTGTAACTTTGCCAAGAAACGGATAATAAAAAGTGTTTCTCAGGGTTGCCGTTGGTGCCGCACCGCGCTCGTTCTCACATGCAGTAAATGGCCTGTGGCTGGTACACCCGCGGTGGGACGGGCAGGTCAGCCGCGGCAGGCACCGCGGGGGGGGGGGGGGGGGGGGGGGGGGGGGGGGGGGGGGGGGGGGGGGGGGGGGGGGGGGAGGAGTAAGCAAGCACCTTCTTACAGCAGGAAAGCTTCCTCGCGGAATCTGCTTGGCCAGCCTCTGGTCTGGAAGCACATCTGCTCAGAATCCTTACCTCGCGGGCTCCGCAGCCTGAAGAGGGGCCGTAGGGGTGAGGCGTGGTGCAGAAGACCGCGACGAAACACTGCACTTACAGTGTGCCCGGTGTCCTGCCAGTTCTGGAACAGAGCAGAAAAGGGGGAGAGCGTCTTGCCCTTCACCTCCTGCCGGTGGATGACGTGGACAACAAGCGAGTACACCTGTGCCCTGTTGCCCCGTTGGGCCCCGCGTCCTGAGCGGGGCCAGAGGTGTGAGCTGTTTGAGGTCAGGAAGGCCGGCCTCTCAAGGAGGCAGCGTTTGCGCAGAGAACTGAATGGAGGACCGAGCCGAGCAAGGCGCCAGGAGGAGGACGTGGGGTTCGTACTTTCCCGGGTCCTGCCTGGGGGACTCTAGTGGAGAGAGTGGCTGGGGGAGCGGATTAGGGGGTCGCTGGGAAGGGGAGCCGGGAGAGGGTGCAGCTGGGCTGCATGTGGGCGGCAGGGAAGGGGACGGGTCTGCAGGTGTGCAGGGTGAAGGCACAGGTTCCCCAGAAGGGGTGACGCTCAGTAGGAGAGTCGCTTCCTGCCCTTGACCTACAAGGCTGTCCGAGGCGGCGTGGCCTGGCCCCTGCCTGTCTGGCCGCCTCCCACCTCCGCTGGCGCTTCCTCCAGCCACGCCGGCCTCGGGCTCCGGTCCTTGCCTGCATGGCTCCTCTGCAGCTGGGCGGGGGTGGGGGGACGGAGGCCGGCCTGAAGCAGCCGGAAGTGGAGGCTGCGTACATGTAACTCCTGAAAAACGTGGACGGACGGGTGCAGAGTGCAGGGAGGGCCTTCCCTTCCTACGGCGGGTGCCCGGCTGGCGCGTCCCGTGCTGGAGCCCGCACACGGGGAGGCGGTGCCCTCTCGAGCTGTGGGAAGCACGGCCAGCCCTCCGTCCCTCCCTCGCTCACGGCCGCGACGCCTCTTTCCATCCTTCACAGAACCAAGGGGCTTTGTGGGCTCTGGAACCGACCCAGCGGCATGGGACTCCCCAGGAGTTCTTCCCCCCCCGAGGCTTCTCAAGCCGGGGAGCAGGAAGGTACGGCCTTCGTTCCCCTGGGGGCACCTGCCGTCGGCAGCCCAGATCCCCCCACATCCCCTCCTCGCCCCCCCCCCACCAGCCAGGGTCCGAGCTCTGTGCCAGGCCGCCTCCAGACCAGCCGTGGGGCTCCCGCTGTGGCCTTAGGAGGCTGTGCCCCCTCTCCCCGGGGCCCTGGCACCTTCCAGGCTGCCTGTCTTCTCGTCAGGCCTTCGCGGGTGTCCTCCCTCCCTCCTCCTGTATCAACCCGACTTTTCTGTGAAAAGTTGATGGAACCATACAGATTCACGCACCGCGTTCCTGTGATCCCCTCCAAGCACTTCCTGGGATGATGACGGGAAACAGACGAGAACAGAGCCCAGCTCTCTGGCTGCATCAGCCACGGGCCGTCTTCCTGCGTTCTGCTCCAGCGGAGGCCTTGCTGAGCCTTGTGGGGGCCGTTGCCACGGCCGCAGGGCTCTACTGCCAGTTCAGAGCTCCTGGCGCACGTGGGTTAGCCCCCGGCCGTCCCCACTCCGCGCCCTGAGAGCACTTGGTTGCCAGTGTGGCTCCCGTGATCTCCACACGCGGTGCCGCGTTCACAAACACACTCTATTACAAGCCAAAAGGGACTTTGCAGACGTCATTCTCCACTGTGTCGTCCTGCAGACGCTTCAGAGCAGAGCTGGAGCTTACGAGGAAATCCAAGCGCTTCAAAGCACAGGCAGGATCCCGTGCAAGTTGCTGGCCTCAAGGTGGAGGCCGCCGCGCATCGAGGGGACAGGAGCCCAGCCCTGCAGACCCAAGCGACTGGGTTCTGCCAACCGCCTGAATGAGCTTCAGAATGGCTTCTCCACCGGGGCCCCCAGCAAGGACGGGGTGTAGCCCGGCTGACGCGAGTGGAGACGCACGCCTGCTAGACCTCTGCCTTCAAAAGCGTGAGATGCTCAGTGGGGGGTTTTCCAAGCTGCCAAGTTGGTAATGAGCTCGGCAGCCGGAGCAAAGTGACTCAGCTCTGCGACAGAAGGTCCTTCAAGCCTTCACCAAGCTGCAGCCTCCTGCGCTCTGTTCTGTGATCTCTCACGACACAACAAACCTAAAATTGAATAGCTTTGGGCCCCTGAATGGCTCAAGCACTTGAGCATCCAGTCCTTAGATTGGGTCATAATCGCAGGGTTGTGAGATCAAGCCCCAGGTTGGGCTCCATGCTGAGTTTGGAGCCTGCTTGGGATTCAGGTCAAGAATTTGGAAGACTTGGGCGCCTGGGTGGCTCAGTCGGTTGAGCGTCTAACTTTGGCTCAGGTCATGATCTCACGGTTCGTGGGTTCGAGCCCCATGTCGAGCTCTGTGCTGACAGCTCAAAGCCTGGAGCCTGTTTCAGATTCTGTGTCTCCCTCTCGCTCTGCTCCTTCCCTGCTCATTCTCTGTCTTTCTCACTCTCTTAAGGATAATTAAACATTAAAAATTAAAAATAAATAAATAAGTAAATAAAAAAGAATTTGGAAGACTCAGCTCCGCATTTTGAGCTATCAGGTGGTGACTAGGGCTGGATTCATCTCAAATGCTTCTTCCTTTCAGTGTCTGGTGCCTGGGAGAAAACTGGAAGGCTGGGGTCCTGGGGCAACTCCTTGGCTCTCTCCCAGTGGTCTGTGCAGTGGTGGTGGCTTTGGGTGGTGGAATTTTTTGAGACCTTAGGACCCCAAAGCTGCATGTACCCGGAGAGTCACGCAAAAGCTGCAGTCTCTCCTTTTCAGATGGTCCCAGGTGGCACATAATGTCACTTCGGCCATACTCTTCTAATTTAGATGGTCACAAAGGCCCAACCAGATTCCCAGAGAGGGGACATGGATTCCTCCTCTTGACAGGGACGTAGCAAGGCTCTGGAAGAGCATGTGGGACCAGCAAGGCCGCAGTGGCCGTCTTTGGAGAATTGACAGTCTTCCCTCTGAAAACTCATGCTCACGCTCCTCCTTCCTGAAGAGCCCCCAAGTCTTACCACCTTGTGTCGCGGTCCAGGGTCTTGTCATCAAGATCAGACCCAAGGGTGGGAGAGGGTCCCCGGGGACAGCCACCAAGTACAGCTCTCCACAGGTCGTGCACCAGTGAGATGCACCATCTGCCCCCTACCCCCATCGTGGGGCCCGCATCGCCCAGCAGCTGCGGACGGAGGCAGTTCTGAGGCGCAGCTGGGCTCTGTTTCCAGTCCCTCCGGCAGGGCCCAGTCTTCCCTGAATCCAGCTCCACCCTCTGGGCCTTCAGTCCCAACCTCTGAACCGTCTTTCCTTTTTTTGGAAGATGTAGCTCGGGGCTGAAGTCTAGTAGTTTCTCCCCGATCGCTTCTTGCCTGCCGAAATGTGGGGTTCCGAGATGCCGTTTTCATTGTCTCGGGTCTGTCTCCCTGTAACTCAGACTGATGTGTTTGCTTTTGAAACATTGCCTCTTATTTACTCACGATTGATACCCCCCTGAAAGCCACACCCACAAAACTCACTCTACCTCGGGCTTCCGGGATATTTGCAGGGACAGTGTCCTTCATATTCTTAGAGGTCCTGTCGTTTGTAAGAGAAGATTCATGCGGCAGGGCCTTCAAGATCCTTAGAAGGCCGTTTGCGTGTCTGAAAGGCTCTGTGAGGTAACACCATAAATCTTCCTGACATTTTAACAGAGGATTTCTAGTCATGCTTTTGGGTGCCATCTTTAAATTTTTTTTTAATGTTTTACTTATTTCTGAGAGAGAGAGAGACAGTGTGAGCAGGGGAGGGGCAGAGAGAGAGGGAGACACAGAATCTGAAGCAGGCTCCAGGCTCTGAGCTGTCAGCACAGAGCCCAAGGCAGGACTCGAACCCATCAACCGTGAGATCACGACCCGAGCCCAAGTCAGACGCTCAACCAACTGAGCCACCCAGGTGCCCCTTGGGTCCCATCTTTAAACCATATTCTCCTGAGAGCAACATGGATTTGATCTCTGTCCAGAGCCCTTCTTACATGTTAGCACTGTTTGCCGTCAAAAGAGGCTGGGAATGAGAACCCAGCAAACCCAGGAAGTCCTGGCTCTCTTACTTATTTATTTTTAGAGAGAGAGAGAGCACGCACATGTGAGCAGGGGAGAGGGGCAGAGGGAGGGAGAGAGGGAGAGAAAGAGAGAGGAGAGAGAGGGAGAGAGAGAGAGAATCTCAGGCAGGCTCCATGCTCAGCACAGAGCCCAATGCGAGGTTCAGTCCCACGACCCTGGAACTATGACCTGAGCCAAAATCAAGAGTCGGACGCTCAACTGACTGCTGGCTCTTTTGTATTTAACAGCTATTTCTTCTCTTCCATGCTACTATGAACACTGCCCTCACATTCCTTAGTTTGACCAGTTCATTAGGTACACATTTTCCGTAGGTTGTCAGGTTCTCTGCTGCTGCGTAACAAAGACCCCCTCTCCTCCAGAATCCCCATTGTGTTTTCAGCCTTCCCTGAAAATCACCTCCAGAGCCTCAGCTTTCTCTGTCTCTTCAACATCTTCCCAACCCGTGCCCACTGCCCAGTGCCAGACTCATGCCCACGTTTTAGACTGTGTCTCAGCAGTACCCATCTCCAGAGGCCGCATCTCCTCTAGCGACCTGCTTTCATGTACACCGTCTCTTGAAAACTTAGTGGCTTCAAACAACAGCCATTTATTTCTTGCTCTTTCTGTGGGTCAGGAATTTGGGAGCAACCCAGCCAGGCAGTTCAGGCTCAGGG